ACAAGAAACTCTGATTAACGAACTAGTAAGTAATAGCGCACAGATGAAAGTGGTAGTTCACTATTAAGTAATCAATAACTACTATTTTTTTAATACTTCCCAGAGAGCTACTGAAAAGTTTATTAACAATCTAGTAACTACTATTAACTAAAAGAAATTCTCATTAACGAATTGGTAAGTAATAGCTCACTGATAAAAATGTTACTAGATACTTCTTTGGGAATTACTAATTATTTGGATTCGTATTATAAAGTGAAGATCATTGGAACTAACTAGTAATTACTCAAGTGTTACTAAAGACATTTTCTAAAAGTATACTAAAGTCCACCAAAAATCTCAAAGGTTTGCACAAATCATGACTAGATCATGTAGTAACACTTGAGTAATTACTAGTTAGTTCCAATGATCTTCACTTTATTATACGGATCCAAATAATTAGTAATTCCCACAGAAATATCTAGTAACACTTTCATCTGTGAGCTATTACTTACTAATTATGTGGATCCGTATTATAAAGTGAAGATCATTGGAACTAACTAGTAATTACTCAAGTGTTACTATATGATTGTCATGATTTATGCAAATGTTTGAGATTTTTGGTGATCTTTAGTATACTTTTAGAAAATGTCTTTTGTAACACTTGAGTAATTACTAGTTAGTTCCAATGATCTTCACTTTATAATACGAATCCAAATAATTAGTAATTCCCACAGAAGCATCTAGTAACACTTTCATCTGTGAGCTATTACTTACTAATTCGTTAATAAGAATTTATTTTAGTTAATAGTAGTTACTAGTAGTTACTAGATTATTAATAAACTTTTTCAGTAGTTCTCTGGGAAGTATTAAAAAATAGTAGTTATTGATTACTTAATAGTGAACTACCACTTTCGTCTGTGTGCTATTACTTACTAGTTCGTTAATCGGAGTTTCTTGTTAGTTAATAATAGTTACTAGATTGTTAATATTGTGTTACTCATTAGTTCTTGTGTAGTTATTGATTAACGAAGGAACCGTATTCTAAAGTGTTACCGACTATTTAATCAAAATTACATATTTAAACATTTTTTCCTGTGAAAATAATTTCTTCATGGCTTAAAATTGTTTGATTTTACTCTACACCCATCCTTCATTTAGTATGTGCCAAACCATGAACATGCAAATTAGCTTTTTAGGGATGTGATTTTTCAGTATTTATACAGATTTCTGTACCTGAAAAGTACGACCCATGTGAATGCGTGAATCCTCACATAAATTACATAATGCATTTGTATTGTATTGAAAAGTATAGCTTTGATATTTTGAAAAATAACTCCCTGTTCCATGGGAAAACGTCTCTACCCCGGTTTAGGGGTAGATTATTGTATAAAAGTCAGATTTGTAAATCACTTGGATAAAAGTCTTTGCTAATAAATAAATAAATGTAAATTTAAATCGTGATCTTTTCCACAGTGGTAGGTTTCTGCTCAACCTAAGCTTGATTTGAATCTACAACTTCTGTTATCAACAGAGACTCTGGTCTTGATTTTTGCTGAGCACATAATTGGAAACCCATGCTATGATTTTTATTTCCTTTTTCTGTAATGCTCAGGCTCTGAAAATCCTCCGTACGGCAGAGTTTAAGCCCTATGTGATCTTTGTAAAGCCACGCATCCCTGAGATTCGCCGGCAACGGAGCTCTCCCACATCACCAGGAAGGGGTGACAATGGACACATCACGGTGAGACTGATTTATATCACCATACTCCACAAATGGTTGTAACAAGCCAAATGGCTTGTAAATCTCAATCATTCAACTCTTAAATTGTACACCGTTGACAACTTTTTGGGTTACTTGACTGTTTGCCCGTTCCCTGAAAAAGCAGGAATAAGATGCTGCGCTTGATTTAAGCATTATGGAAAAACATCATTGTTTGACCGGTTGTGAACACGTGTGGCAAACATGCCAAGAATTTTGCATAAATAACCTCTAAGAATCATAAGACTCATAAGAAGACTCATCATAGGAATGCGCATGTCAGAGGCTATAAATAGATATGTGACAGATGTACTTATTGTGTATATTTGTCATCCTGACAGGCCCCCAGTGCTGCAATAAAGTGCAGCATCTTTTTCCTGCTTTTTTTACTGAACAGTATTACAGTCAAGTAACGTGAGACGTTGCCTTTCAAAAGCTACTCTCAATGCTGCACTTGATTTAATCACTGTGGGAACGAGATTACCAACGTCGCGCACTGTTCCCCTCAAGGTTGTGTAGTTTGTGCGCACAAACGTAAGTAGGGCCTCGCCTCTGACATGAGCTTGGGATGTTTGACTCAAGGACATGTGAGCCCGGAGTAACATTAACATCCAAGCTATAAAATCGAATAAATGTGTGCGGAGAGTACCAGCCTGCTGCATCACATACTTGCTGCATGGGGGCATCTCTTGCTAAAGCCCTGGAAGACGCAATGAGCCATAACAACTCATAGGTTAGAGCAATAGCATCCCTCACCCAATGCGACATAGTCTGCTTTGTGGTGGCCGCCTGCTTTGTGGTTACAGCCCCCAACAAGTATTTTCGAACCCATAACAATGGAACAGATGCTCTGAAATTACGCCACTGGCTAGTGTGGTGAACGTAATTCTGAAGAGCATAAACTAGACACAATGAATGGAGTCTCTCCTGCTCCAGCGAAGTGAACGGCAGAGGACAGAAGGCTTCAACGAAGTGAACTTTTGGCAGATAGTCGGGATGAAGGTGCAAAATAGCCTTGACCAATCCAGGGGCAAAGACTAAGCAGGCTGGCAAAACCGACAGAGCCTGCAAATCCCCAATCCTCTTTAGTGAGAAGATGGAGAAAGAAAACCACCTTTAGAGTCAGAAGCTTGACCGGCGCTGGAAGGAGCCCCTCAAGGACCACGGCTAAATCCCATGAGGGAACTTTTACTCTGAGGGGTGGCCTCAGTTGCCTAGTGAGTTAGGAAGCTCTCACACTGGGCCATGGCATGCAGACCCAGGGGGGCTGGAGGAGTCAGTGAGAGGTAAAGGGGACATTGTTTCCTTGAAGTGAAGAGGTCCACCTCTGCTTCATAAAATCTTTCCCAGATCTGATTGATTACATCGGGATGGAGCTTCCAATCCCCATGTATTTAAACATGTGGCTTGAAAATGAAAATTCTATGATCCAAGATGGCCAACACCATATGATGCCATAATATAACCCTGACCCTATATGGGAAAATTTAGGGCATTAAGGTCAATAGTGACAAACCAATCTTTGTTTTGAATTTGAGACGCAATCATTTTGTTTGTCAACATTTAGAACATGTTGAACAGACTGGGAAGGTCTAGTATTGGTGTATTCCTTTTCTTACGGTTCTCAATACCCAAGCAGATATGTTTGGCAGTAGTTTCCACGCTGCCACCTTCTGGAAAAGGAGCATCAATTTTGATGTAACGTCTGGTGATGCAATGATGGGGGAATGTTAAATATCCTGTGTCCTGGAAAACGGCAGGAAGCAACCAAGTATTTAACATTTCTCTGAAAACTGCTGCCCCAAGAAACACAAGAGGTGGCAGCGGTGTCGTGAGGGTGTCGGGAAGGAGCTACTTACACTGCATGAAAAGTGGGATTTTCGTCCCCGTAAACTGCCGGAAATCTCCCTAATTTTCGGCAGTTAACGACAATTTACAGACTGTGAACGTCGCGTTCCACTGTGCCACATATTGACGGAAACGAACCATGACGTATGCATGCAGCGCTCGCGGAGGTGCGAATGGCCCTAATTAGCATATGAATAGCAGCACTGCGCGCGCCTTGCCAGAGAATGGCTTGAATTTCCTCACTCAGTATTGGTTGAAATTCACTACATTTAAACAAGAAAATCACTCGTGATTGGTTGGCAGATCTGTTACTATTGGTCAGCCGACATAAAATTATAATAATAATAATCATATATATATATATATATTCATATGATATGCTATTATGTTGTTTATTCATGTCATTGTTATCCTATGGACTAAATTATTATTACCATCAAGGACATGAATTTATTGAGGAAAGGAACATTTGCCACATACTGTTTATTCAAAGAAATAGCTTTATTAGAACAAACACAAAACTATGTACACAGCATAGGAGAACATCTTTCAAAGCACAGAAAACATGTCCTCCACCCTCTGGAAACATGGGACAACATACATACATACAGCACTACAGTTATACAAATAAATCAATAATATATTGCATCTCTATTCAAAAATAAATTGCCCTGAATGGCATCAGAATTGGGCACCAGATATATCAAACACAATGTACAGTGGAGCCAGAATTATGAACGAATAATAAGGATGTAATTTAAAGGTATGGTTCACTTTGAAATACATTTTTGATATGTTTTATCTTATCTCAAGGGCATCCAAGATGCAGGTGGTTTTGTTTCCACAGTATTTTCAATTTTGATATTTTTAGGTCAAACTGTTGTTGTCTGTCAGTCATATAATGCAGGTCTATGGTCACCACCTCAAAGAGCATGCACAAAGAAGACCAAATTAAACATGATTTAATGACTCATAAATTAAGTACACAATGATTGACTAAGACACGAAATGAGCGTTTTGGGAAAGAAAACAAACAGTATTTATATTGTATAAATGTGTGTGTGTGTATATATATATATATATATATATATATATATTTAGATATACACAAAATGCAATACATCTAAATATGTTTAGATCTTCACAGTAAAACTTCCGAAATCTGTGTAAACAATGAGTGACGTACCAGTGCAAGATCGCTTCTGGCGGTTTCCACCGCATGCGCAGATCATATATACATATATATATATATATATACACACACACACTGTTCATTTTCTCACACAAACCGCTCATCTCGTATCTTAAGCCATCAACGTGTACTTACAGTAATGATTCATTAAATCATGTTTAATTTGTACTTCTCTGTGCATGCTCTTTTAAGAGATCCCCATAGACTTCCATTATATGACTGATGCCCTTGATGTAAGCCAAAACATTTCAAAAAATAATTTCAAAGTGAACTATCCCTTTAAAACTCTTAATTCAAGTCCTGTAGGCTTGGCTCATCAGGGCGAAGTGAATTTAAGTCTTTGCGACGCGTGCTTGAGGTTCACCTTGATGTACATACACCTCAGTGGGTGTGGAACCAAATTTCATGACCCCTTCTGCAAAGTTGAAAAAGACAAATGATTTAGATGTATGCAAAGGCAATCTGCCCCAAGTCCCCACATTTGTAAGCAAAAATATGTTTCTTCTGCATCCACTACCTGGTTTCCTTCAGGCGATGGCGGATGTCGACCAGTAGTTTCAGGACCTTTTTCTGGAACACTGAAATAAACGAACACATTTGGTGATGTTTACAATGCTCTAATTAGAATAACAAAGTTTGCTAGCTCACAAGAGAGAAGGTGTCTATTAAAAGTGTCTTCTCCACTGCCAATAGATCAACACTTACCACCAGGTTTCAGTCACTGCATCTCCCAGTCTCAGTCACTGCATCTATACCACAAAAAAATGTGTTTTAAAAGTTATTATCAAATGATGAAACTGAACAGATTTATAAGATATTTAAAAACTTGGTCAAACATTTATAACTGAATATAACATGCCATGTTCCAGTTCTCTTTGGCGTTTTCACCACTGTCTCACGCTCAAAGTCATCTATAAACACAGACGTTAATCCAAATTAGTTTAGTTTTACTTTTTATTTGACTGGGGCCTGTTCAAAAGAAAAGAGGATGAGATCACAACACGTAACGTTACCTTATTTAGGTGTTTTTTCTCCCATCAGCGAAGGACACCTCACTCCTAACAGCCCCTGAGAGACAAAACAAATCACAAACATCTGAAGATTTCACTCATCACACAAAGTGATGCAATTTTACAAACAAGGATAGCCTACACTATAGCATACAAGCACATTACGCGCTTTGTTTTAGGACCCTGGCACTTATTATTTTTTCATAATTTCTGACGATATTCAGAGTAAATGAGTTAGTTTGATTACTATCAAAGAATGGTAGCTAACTTGCAGCCAGATAACAACGTGCAACCCAACGTACAGTTTAGTGTCCCAAATTTGTTCAAATTGAAATGAAACAAAAAAAAGAATTAAGAGCAGCAAGCTAACGCAAAACAAAAAACTGTTCCGTTAGGTTAACACCCTTGAACATTCGCAGCAGTAATCACAGCCGATTTGTGAAGTTTAAGACAAAAACGCTAAACTACCAAAAACTATAAGTAGACATGGACATAGAATTCACTAAGCTGGACGAACTTACCTTCAATTTAGAGGAAAAGATGGGTTCCCCAGCGATCATGACGGCGAAGCAGGCTGAATATCTGTAGTTACTTTCTGCTTAAAAAAACACGCCACATGCCTGGCACGTTGCCTCAGCCAATCAGAGTGGCTGACGTTACAGGTTGGATTATGACGATATGCTGCCTCAGCCAATCAGAGTTACGTTCACTGGTTTTTGACTCAGGTTGAAAGGCTGTCGTCGGCTGTCCTTGACTTTTCTGCTGCTGTTAGTTCATTTTAAATTAGGAATAAGGTGGATATACCTAAATAGGCTACCATGAAATGTAAAAATACATATATGCATAAATAAATAACTTTATTAGGTTACTTAAAATAAATAAACCAGTAAAAAAAATGTAAAAAACAAAAACAAAAAACATCTGTTTATAACTGTGAATTAACATCAAAGATGTTATCATATATTTTGAAAACTGCTTCCGTAAATGTTATGATGAATCTTATAATTTTATTAGGAAAATTTCATATTCATAAGAGTAAAATGAATAATTCTAAACCTTGTTTGAAGTTTTTTTTTTTTTGGTCTAATTTTTAGTTTTCATCTGTCTCTCAAATGTATCGATAAAAATGTAGTGATACAATTGTATTTGCTAAAGAATATTGAAGCTAATTGAAGCTAATTTTCTTTCTTTAAATAGTGCAAATTACTGGTTTCTAACTTTCTCTTAAATCATAATATTATACACAATAGAGATAGTCCCTTTCCTGTTTTTATTTCATTTGTTCAATTCTGTCCTATTTTTATTTGTTTCTTATTTATTGTGAAATTATTATTTGTTGATTGTTATCTTTTTGGATGTCATGTTATTGTTGTAATTTTTGTGCATTATGTGCAATGTTAAAAAAACAAAAAACAAAAAAAACACAGCAATTAGGTTATACTGAGCCTGATCTTGTCTTGTTGAATGAAGTTATACCTTTCAGAAAAATGTTACCTGGGGTGAAACTCCCCTACCCTTATTTGCATGTGTATAGCTCACAGCATTTTCATTTACATGTCAAAGCCTCCTCTAGATTTAGGAGAAGGGGGGACAATGGGGGGACAACTGCCAAGCAAGGCCCACGTCAATTTCCGGCAATTCACAGCAGTTTTGAGTGTTACCTGTAAATTGCCGTGTGCAGTCGTAAACCTGAACTTCCACGACAATCTACAGTGCCGCTTACTGACGAAAATCCCACTTTTCATGCAGTGTTAGTAAATTTTTTATGTGCCCCATCTCGCGGGATGTTTTTTCCCCAGCAGGTCAGCTTAGTGTTTCTGCTATGTGCAGAGTGGCACCAGCATGACCCAATGACTGAAACGCCTCCCCTACCAGGGCGAATGTTCTTCTGCACGGCTTAGTGGGGAGAGCTGACTTTTTAAGTGAAGATGACTTTCCCAGGAGAGATAACCCACAAGTGTCTCTTCCAACTGGGGCATCGTATAACCACATGCCCTATACGTCAAGGCCTCAAAGAAGTGAACAATCAGGTTTCCCCCATGAATGAGTTAAGTCGTCATGAATGTCTTTGAAGAAGGGGAGAGACCGTCACTGAGTCCTCTCCCCCTGGCCCCCATACAGAAATTTGCTCTAACTTTGCTCTTTCTCCTGTGGCCAGTCTAGCTGTAATTTAGCCACTGCATAAGTGACCATCTCGGGTAACTGCTCATGTGCTTCATCGGTAAAAAGTGGTCTGGATAAATAGCTGAATATAGTTATTTTCATATTAGAGCAGTTTCAACAAAGAATCATGAAATCATAGCTTGCAAACTCACACAATTTCTTTGAATGTGATCATAGGAACAAGAGAGAAAGGGAAAAAAATCTCCTGTCTACTCAATTCCCTCGCATTATTTACATGCATAATGGACTGGCAATCTGTGTGTTGCCTCGCAGACGCGAGATCTGAGCCATTAGATTCTTTATTGATGAGAACCCACAACCTCAACCTGCTCTGAAGACGTGCCTTCTTCAGCAGCAGACAAGAGCATTTCGTGATCCAGAGAGAGAACGAGAGAAAGGTAAGGACCCGTCACCCGCTCCCCAGATCAACTTGCGAGCCCCATGATTTCGTAATTTCTTTTCCCTAAGGCGAGTCTGGAACGGAGCACTTTGATGGGCAATGACTCGCAGTCCTTTCACTCTGTGCCTCGAGGGCTGCTAAAGTGTGCTTTTCCGCCAATACATAATTCAAAATGGGCCATGAAGCCTTTCTCGCGAGAGAGAGTGAGAAAAGGCTTTTTTCTGCTTTACAAAACTAACTCATAGCAAAAGGAATAGTTTGAGAAGAGGTTTGAATAGCACACAGCACACAATGCGGTTCAGAAGACAAAGGAAAACGATGAGCGTCTATTTATAGCCCCTGACACGCTCATTCCATTGACGTCATAATCAAAGGTTTAAGCCAAATTCTTCACTTTTTTGCTACATTTACAGCCAGTCAAACAAAGATGTTTTCCCATTGCGCTTAAAGTGCACTTAAAGTGCAGCATTGAGAGTAGCTTTTAAAAGTTTTTTTTTTTTCCTTTTATCTTTTTTTCTCTCACAATGTGAAAAGGATGAAGACCTGCAGGACATGAGGCAGTCAGCCGAGCAGATGGAACAGCAATATGGCCATCTAGTGGACAGGGTCCTAGTAAAGGAGGACTCTGCCAGCGCCTGTGTAGAGCTGAGGAATATTCTGGAACGACTTGAGAGGGAGCCGCAGTGGGTGCCTGTCAGCTGGGTCCGATCATGATCCTTCCTCCCTCCTAAATTAAATTCATACTTGCGCATTTTGAAAACATAGACCTCTCTGTCTCTTTCTGAGTCAACTGTCTGCAGTTTCTGTTTCATCCTGTTTGAGATAAGTAATATAAAGCAAAATAAAAGTGCCGCTTGAATTGTTGAAAGTGCACTAGCAAGATTTCTGTTCATAAGGTTTTGCATGAAAGTACTGTAGCTTTGACAAGAAATGTATAACTATTAGCTGAAAGAATTAATTTTCTGTCGAAAAATAATGGTTGTCCTTATTTCTGTCGAGCGAGCTGCACAAATAAACATCAAATGAAGACAGGACTACTTGAATGAGAGAACAACACCGACTCAGGTTTACTCACTGTGTCAAAGCTGGTTTCTGCCAGGCATACTATCTAGTGTGAAAGTCTTGTTTTATCTTTGTCTTATGCTGACTGTGTACGTTTAGTCAAATGGGAATTATGTAAAATAGTATACTGTATATTTGCAAAAGTGTTTTGTACACAACCTGTCATACAATTTTGTTGTAATTGTTAATGTTTTTGTATACAGATGACTGTTGCTGTCTGTGTAGTTCATTAGGCAAATAACAAATTAAATATATTACAGAGCATGTCTTTAGGGCCATACAGTACCATTATGAATATGTACCATTTTAGAATTTTTGAATGTGAATTGTTATAATAAAAATAAAGACTGCATCACTTTTTAACTTCTTTTTTATTAGAGAGAACAACATAAAAACATACAAATATTATTAAATAATATTTTATTATATTATTAAAATATATATTAAATAATATATATTATTTCCAAGGAGGAAAGACATCAGCAATGATCTTAGAGAAGCAATTATTGCTGCCATCAATCTGAGAAGGGTTGTACAGCCATTTTCCTACAATTTGAAGTCCATTATTCTAAAGCAAGGAAAATTATTCACAAGTGGAAAACATTCAAGACAGTTGCCAATCTTCTCGGAGTGCACGTCACAGCAAATTTGCCCAAAGGTCAAACTGCAATGCTCAGAGACATTGCACAACACCCGAAAAGGTCTCATTTACAGATGTAACCCTCGTTCCCTGAGAAAGGAACGTAGACGTTACTTCATAACAACAAAAGGGGTTTTGCTTAAAAAAGCCTTGTCAACTATCCAGTGAGACAACCTTTGCTTGGAATGAGCCTTTCCCTTCAGCTTTCCACCATAACAGACAAAGAGCTGGTCTGAGGTCCTGAAACACTGCGTTCTGTCAACAGGCACAAAGAGCACATACTGGACAGAGCAGTGCCAAGGCTGGGTCTGCCTCCTCCAGGGGCAGCGCTTGCAGGTTCACCACCTGATCTCGAAAGGGAGTGGTGGGAACCTTGGCCATGTATCCAGACCGGGGTCTTAGGATCATGTCAGAATAAGCCAGCCCGAATTCTAGGCATGTTTCGTCAATGGAAAATACATGCAGGTCCCCTACCCTCTT